TTAGTTTTTGGTAAAAATCCGTGCATATTAATTACCTAATTTGCATAATGATTAGTCAATTTTCGGTTTTTCCACTGATATCTCAAGTACTAATCATCACATTTCAATGAAACTTGGTACATAGATGTCATATGACAATGCACAGACCTGATAGTTTTTATGGTAATATCAGTACATACAATTACCTAATTTGCATAATTAATTAATTTTCAGCTTTTGATACAAGTAGTGAGCATTACATTTCAATAAAACTTGGTACTTACATACTCAAGGACTATGCAGAGATTGATTGTTTCGGATAAATATTTGTGCATATTAATCACCTAATATGCATAATTAGTTACTTTTCAGCTTTTCCACGGGTATCTCAAGTACTAATCATCGCATTTCAATGAAACTTGGTACATAGATCCTTTAGGACTATGCAGAGATCTGATTAGTTTTAAGCTAAATAATTGTGCTTATTAATTACCTAATTTGCATAATTAATTTTCAGCTTTTCTACTGATATCTAAAGTACTAATCATCACATTTCAATAAATCTAGAATTATGCAGAGACCCAGTTAGTTTTCGGTAAATATTTGTGCATATTAATCACCTAATTTGCATAATTAACCAATTTCCAACTTTCACACTGATATCTCAGATACTAATCACGTATCAATGAATGTTTGTACATGGATGCTGTAGGACAATAGACAAACCTCAATAATTGTGGGTTAAAATATGCACATATTAATTACCTAATTTGCATAATTAACCAATTTTAAGCTTTCACACTGATATCTAAAGTACTAATTATTCCATTTCAATGAAACTTAGTACAAAGATGTTCTAGGACAATGTACAAACCTAATTAGTTTGGGGTAAAAATCTGTTCATATTAATTCCCTAATTAGCGTAATAATTCGTAATTTCTTGGTTCCAATCACATTTCAATTAAACTTGGTACATAGATTTTCTGTTACATTGCGCAGACCTCATTAGTTTTACACTGAAATCTGTTCATATTAATTTTCTGATTTGCATAATTAGTTTTCAGCTAAGTAATTCCGAATTATATTTAATGTGTTACAATACTCTCAGCACATGGAAGTTCTTTCTAAGCTTTCTTTGATTTTGTAATTGATGTTGATTTCACACTTCTGTGAACTTATCTTGCAATTTGATTTGTGTAATAAGTGGGCTGTCAATATTTTGCGACTACATTTTTCTAATATGATGTCGTAATTATAACAATCACAATAACTCGAATCACACAATTTTTGCAATGTTTTGCTCTCAATTATTTTATTATCCAATCAAACGCCGACATTCACGTACTTTTCCTCGTCGTGACCAGACGCTTCACCC